AAGTTCAGCAGACCCCCTGGTTGATTTTGATTGAGGTTTCGGTGTCCCCATTTAGTGGGAATCCCTTTTGCGGTGGACACCCCCCCCCCATTTCGTAGGATGGGTTCTATTGGTAGGATGGGTGCTACTTAAACGGGGGTTCCCATTACATCCATTTGCTTAAGATCCCTGGAAAAAAGGGAACACATATGTCCAGTAGCGATAGACTCCCGTTAAAATCAACTTTAGGGAAACGAAGAACTTGTTCCCATTCCAGCCAATGGAAGCAACTGTGAGACCTATGGGTGTCTGGTCAGAAGACGCCAAAACGGGGGGGAAAGAAAACCAGGCCGGGGGTTCCCACATCCACGGCCGCGCGTCAAACTCTCTGCTTTATCCCCGCCTGCAGAAGCCCACGGCCCAGCTTTTGGATGTCTTGTCCGCTGACCCCGCCTGCGCAACCCCGGACGCCTTGATGGAGGTGTGTCTCTGGTTGGGTCCCTGACGCCCCTTTTGGCTTCAAACAAAAAGCAAGAGGACAACCAAAGGGTCAGTTTGGGGGGCTCCCCCCAAACCCAGTGCCCTTTTTTGAGGCCCTCTTTGGGACGTCTTGAAAGGGAAGCCAAAAGGCCAGGCTTCGCCGCGCTACCAACCGTCTCTAAGTGAACGGATCATCCCTCCATGGTGTTCAAGTTTAACATGACCTATGTCTGCCGTATCATTGCACCCTCCGTTCACAAATGATATGTCCCAATGCCAGCGGATTTAGAGAAGTCAGTTCCTTGTCCTAGTGGCAACTTGGTGAGCACACTCTCTGTCATTCCGTTGACTACGGTAGATGACGGTAGCTGTTGACCGTTGCTCATAAGCGAAGCGAGCCGTGCAACTGATGGGCTTGCAAAAATCCTGGACTCATGTTTGGCCAGTTCCACGACGATCCTTCAGACCAGAGACGAATTCCGATATGTCCATAAGTTGGTTTTCGTTGGTCCCTTCCCAAGAGCCATCCAAATGGGATATGTCATAGATCCCATCCACAGACTTCAACACAACAAACCCGTTCTATTCATAGGGGCTGCGGGCCCAAAAGTGGTCTGAATCCCACTAAACAAATAAGGAGTTGTACACCGGGACAATCAAAAGCAACCGGTACTGCAAATCTCGGGGTTCCCATTAACTCAAGTTCGAAAGGTTTGAAGGGGCTTCTAAGGATACTGTGCATGGGCGAAGTTCATTTCGCGCCGAAGAAACCATACGTTGAAGCCATGGTTTGTTGGTATCGGGGGAATCATCGGAAACTGAGCTTTCTGAAAGGTGGTGCGATCTGCATTTCGTCCATCCAGAGTATGACCGGGAACCCTCCAAGAATCGCCACGAACCGAACTGTCCAGGTCCGAGAAAGAGTGTGTCATGTGGAGATTTCGGGGATTTAGCCACCTAGAGCGGAGCAGGGGTGAGTAAAAACGCGGGCCGTGAAGGTTCAGCATGCTAAGTCAAGTCCCAACTCTACGCCCCCAAAATGAACTCGAACAAACACTCACTTCCCGAGCGGATTTTGCGGAAAAAAGAACTTGCCACCAAAATGGTCCTCCCAAAAGTACAAAGTCCAGGAACTCAGGAAGTGAGACAAGGACGGACCCAGGTGATTCGGGCAAGGCTCCCAATGTGCCACCGGCCATCCACCAAACAATCGTCCCTGCCTATGCCCAGTCGCCGGAACCTGGCTGGGGCCAGTCAACACTCATTTCCGGGCTCGAACACGCGTGGACTTGGGTCATTGACTTTTTCTAGCGGGTGACTCAAATGTCAATTGGGGTCCCTTGAACCTACCACTAACATAATGGGACCAGACGCATCACTCGCTGCCAAGCGCGGCCAGGATCGCCAGTTGTTCGAGAGCAGCTCCTGTGCAGAGGGCCTCGAGGGAGGCTCTAAGCCATAGCGAACGAGTTGCCCAGCCCGTGTGAGTCTGTCTTCTTTGAGGGTGCCCCTTTTTGGTTGGTTTCAAAGGGAAACCAGAAGGGAAAACGCAACTTTGGGGGGTCCCCCCGAACAAAAAAAACATACCCCATGTGGGGAAGCAGCCCTGCGAAACAGGCTTTGGGAAAAGAAAGCCATCCCCGTGAGAGTCTCACTGTTCCACATGAAAGGAGGAGTCTGTCTCAGAGTTACACGCGATGTCTCGAACAACTTGGGTGGGTTCCAAAGAGCCCCAAGGGGGGCCTTGGCAAAATTTGAGGGACCTAAAAGATGCACGGTCAGTGGAGAGATACAGAGCTCCCGGAAAAAGAAGAAGAACAACAACTCCAAAGGCCTTGAGTAACTTGGGTTCTAACAAAGGAAAGCATAATCTACCCTTGTCGGTTTGGCCAGATTGGAACGGCGAGCAACCCTGAGGGTGTTCAAGGATACGAGGAAGAACGGTTGTTTACTAGACGTTGCGGCCAAGGTTTCCAAGCTTGCAACTATTGGCAGGGTATATCAGGTATACCCACAAGTGGCAGGCTGCCGGACAAGGTACTATGCCCCAAGCCACCCATTGGCCGGCCTGCGGTACCAGAATACCCGTGTGATCCACGGGTTTTGATAGAAATCCTCACGACTGTGGTCTAACTTCCCTGAGGAGTTGATGACAATCCCCGTGTCCTGTGACCATGACATGAAGTTTCCATATGCCTACGGGGCCCTCAAATATACGTAGGTACCTCTTCAACCATTTCGTGGGGGTCTGTCATGATGATAGGTGACCTTTTGGAAAATAGATGGGTGTCCCTGGTAAATGGAATGACACCAACCTAAACTAGTGGAACCCCATCTATTTCTCACCAACCTAACCAAAAACCGGCCACCTACTGTGGATGGACGAAATCCTGCAGCGCCTAAGAAACCCTGGAATGATGATTCCCCCGTGGTTTCTTAGGTGGTGCGAACGGATATGGTCATGGTGTGTTGTTGGTTTTCCCATCCAATTCCTCGCTTCCGTCTCGGTGCGCGACCGGTCTGCCTCACGCTTACCTTGGAGCTGTGTCTCAAGGGGCCACCCAAACATGTGTTGAAGTGTTGTCTCTTTTCACTTGGCCAAACAAAGTGACACGCAAATTGGACCAACCAAGATTTGTTTTCGTCTTTCCGCGTCCTTTTCAATAGTCTGAGTTGAAATAGGATTCAATAAGGACAAACAAGTAGAAGTCTTATGAGTTGATGTCAATATTTGTGTAAGTTCAGTTCAATTAGAACTCAGATCTAAAGTAGTGAGCAAACAGTTGCTAGGGTTTGTATCCACCTTGGCAACGGTTGCACAACTGAGTTGGGCTCACAACTCGAAGTTGCGGCTTGGAGCCATCTTCCAACCAAGCGGGGACAAGGAGGGAGCGGGTCCCGATATGGGGGGATTCCAACTTGGCGCCATTTCCCATATCAAACTTAGTCAAGGTGCATCAAACGGGGGAATCCTCCCGCATCCCTGGTTCCCCCTGTATCCCTGCTAGTTGGTTTCCCTGACAACCTTGTCAAGCCAATGTTTGCCACAGAGTTATTGATTGAGTATCGGCGGATTGAGTCCTGGAAGCATGAAGCTGGGCCGCGAACAAAGCATGTCAAAGCAGACCAGCTGAGCCTGACGCTGCAAGTGCTCCGAGGCGGAAACTCATTGGGCCAGTGTCTTACACTGCATATGGCCCTGCCAGGAAGGGGGTACACATGGAATTACAGATTCTGGCAACAACAGTATTTGAAATTTGGGCATGTCATTTTTTTAGGGTAGGACATCAAAGGGACACGGGTTCCTATTTTGAGACAAGCCCATTTCGTCTGCCTAAAATGGCGCAAACAAATTGGAGGAAGCCCCCCGTGAAAATCGCTCAATGTCAAATGTGTTTGCCCCGACCAAACACCGGTCCGACTCCCAAAAGGGAATCCTAGACAAATAGCCGTTTTTGGGATTCCATACTAATCTGTTGGGGAGTTGCCTTTTGGAACCCACGCAGCCAGTGAAAGATTCGACTGGGCTTGGTGCTGACAGACTGACGATTGAGGAATCATGTGACGGAGATTGGATTTCTCACGCTTCGGCCACAGGTTGCTATTTAAAAATCAACAACGCGCCTTCTGGCTGGTTGCCATTGTGGGCAGTGGTGCACAAATCTGTCAATGTGTTTCTGCAATGCTTCTCAGCCTTGGAAAAACCACGGGACCGGCCCACAGTCCAAACAAAAGGAACCAACATGTGGGTGTGTCGTTAAAATCAATGCTGGCGTTCCTTTTGTTGACCTTTTGAAAGCTACAAAAAACATATTCTCCCAAAAAACGATGAGCCACCATGCGGTATACGCCTAGCCTGTGAGAAGAAGGAATGCACGCGCGAAGTCGACCGTGCATTGTGGCTTTGTCTTAGACAATTGTTCAAACTGAAGGTAGCGTAACGCAAATCCAAAACGGACTCCATGTTGCTTCAAATGTCGTTCTTACGGCAACATTTGAGGCACAGCAACGGAGGTAGTTCATGGGGGGGTGACCATATATACACCAGTTTATAATATATATATATATATAGTCTTCTGATTCTGTTCCATATTTTTGGTCAACCCATGTTTGGAGGAGACCCATTGAGTGACCGAAATCAAACTCCGCCTCAGAGCTCGCTCCGCCGATGCGCGACCAGTCGGGCCTCGTGTTTCAGCGATCGAATTTCTGGAATTCCTAAATCAAAAGTGACAAACCCTTGGCGGGGGCGCGGATTGCCTCAAAAGGTCCTTTACATAGGACCCATTGCGGCAAACCGCCTTTTTTCACACACATGGGAAAAGTTACCCATGGTCATTTGGAGGTCAATAAACTTGATCTATTCAAGAGAACCCTTGCGCGGGCCGGTCATTTGGAAGACTCGCATTGAGACACCCGTTCAGCTCAGACTTCTGGATCTCACAAAGATCCAAACAAAAACGATCTGCAGAGGTCAGATTTCACTGCAACACTTTTGTAAGGGACATCCAGGCGAAAGACTATTGACCACTTGCCCAACTGAACGCTATACCCGAGTGGCGGTAGAAAACATCTCGTCAATTTAGCGGTTTGAGCCGAGGATACACAAGAGTCCACAAGCCTCAAACTGTTCAAACCAGCTTGAATCTTAACAAGTTTCACTTTTGCAAGCGCACAAGGTGACGATGTCTCAAGCAACGCGGAAAGTTGCGCCAACAACTGCATGACATTCCTGCAAGACCGGGTCTTCCCTGTGAGTTGAACATTGCAAGTGGGTTTGTCTCCAAAAAAAATGCGTCCCCGCAATGTGGTTCTTAGTTTCCTTCCCTTTGCTTTACACCTTAAGGAAATCTTCCCAGCTGGATGCGAAATACCCCGAACGGTGCCAGGTGCATATAACAGGCCCGCTGTCTGATAATAGTTGAACACTTGCGGGTTAAATACGGCAACCCAACCACTAAACCAACTAAAAACAGCTGAAAGCCGAAGTTGAACCGGACAATTCGCTGGGCTTACCAAGCAAAGAGCTGCATCAGGTCTTCCGATCGCCTGAGCTCCCCCGCTCCTTGGCGACCGCCGCCGGGAACTCCTGTCAAAAGGAAAGCGGGTGCCATTTCTTCACACTCCGTGGTATGGTAGCAAAAAAATGTGTTGTTTGCAGCACCCCACTAAAAATGAAAAAAAGCAAAAAAGAAAAAAGAAAAGGACAACAAAAAGAAAACATATTGCCGAGGACAGTTCAGATTTGGAGCCTGAGATTCACATCTCCGGGACCCGGGTAACCGCGTTCTGGACAGCACTTGGACGGATGCCCCAAATATTGCATGGCAACCAACCGCATGAGAATTTATAGGGGTTCCCTTGCTTTCTACTTGCAATTAGGGCATCCACATGTGGGCGTGTCATTTTCAGGAGACCTCCTCAGGGGGGTTCATCCATCTCAACTCGTGCCGATCTCCCTGGAGTTTGCCCTTCCGCAGTCTCACTTTTTAGATTCCGGTTCAAACTTAGTGCACCTAAAGACACGAACAAAACAACATCCGAGATGCGAGTTGAAGGCAACCACAAGGGTATTCCGCTATGGGTTTGTCTCAAAAATGGGAAAGCGGGTTCGATTTCAACGCGGTGTCACTTCAAACCAAGCCCGACAAGAAGGCTTCAGCAGGCTTGGGCCATATACCGGGGTAACATGATCTATGAATGTCCTCCTTTTGCTCTCCCGGAGGAAAGGTGCTCAAACTAGCCCCATCATCGCCACTATGAAAGTCACCCCCTAAATCGTAGGTTAAAGGAAACCACCCAGATTCTGACTTTGACAACTCCCAGACAAAATCTGTTTCAGTATCAAACAAATTTCGGGTCTCACACTAGGAATCGGACCCTGACAAGTGGTAAAACAATAACAAATTTGGGGTCTCAAAATAGGATACCAACCCTGAAGCAAATTGTTGTCCTTTTGGTTTCCCTCACACGACCCCCAAACACCGGGCACCAACTCAAAGGAAAAAACGAAGCGCCACCCCCCCAACTGCGCCCCAAATGCGCCTCGATGCGCTTGGCCATGAAGGGGTAGGTGCCCGAGAGCATGAAGAAGAGCATCACGCCGCAGGACCTCCAGGTACCCAACCGACTTGGCCGACACATCTTGACAGGACTATGATGCTGGATGCTCTCAAATATTGCAAGAAAACCAATACACCACCAAACCATGATTCACAGTGAATAGACCCCTCTGCAAAAAGTTGTTCACTTTTGTGGGTCCAATGGAACATTGACTGGTTCGCGAAAAGTGAAAGTAAATCCGAAAGGTCTTGGTTTCTTCAGAAGCAGACGTCAAACGCAGGAAAGCAACCGGGTCGGGCAACATGTGCTACAAGCAGCCTTGGGTCCAAGGGAAGTCAAAAAGAGGAATTGTTCAATCAATTGGGTGTGTGATTCTTGAGGGTGCAATTGTTGGGCGTGGTGCGAAAGGAAACCAAACGGAAAATCCAGCTTGAGACAATTGGTGCATGGGACTTGTCCGCATGGGGATGTGCAAGTCAAATGCGGCCCGGTGTCGATTCCCTAACACCACCAGCGCATCCTCAAAAGGCACCCAAATGCATGGGACTTAGGGCACAACACGATGCTTCGCTTCGCTTCTCATGGCACTTCCCTCTTGTGTACAGGCTACTTTTTTCGGTCCTAAACAATCTGAATGGTGAGATACCTTGAAACCAAAAGTCCGATTCTTTCACCATGATCAAAGTCATCCTCTGGTGGCAGGTTGAGGGAAAACCAACCCCCATTTTCCGACTTTGATCACCTTCGGAAACAGCCACAAGGACAACATGATAAGCCCCGCTACTCTTCCAGCAGCTCGGCTTGGCTTTGCGGCCGCGGCGCCAAATGTCGCAGCTCTTGCTGAAGTTCCCCGCCCACACCTGGCCGAGACTCGCTCGCGCCTCAACCGACTCCACGGGGCAATGGGGGTGGGTGCCCTCGAGTGACCCGGGCATGTGCCGTAGGGATTTTGGGGCCCTGAAATGCTGGCTTTCCTCTTGGTTTCCCTTTCAGCCAAGCTCAGAGGGTACGCTGAAACAAAAACAGCCCAAACAAACTGCCATCGCTTCTAACTCCTACGGGAAACAACCGTAACTGCCTTCGTATGGCTTTTTTACGCTGTGAAACAAACCGAGCGGTTGTTGCCGTGGGACTTTGGGGCGAAGGGCAACCGTCTATTCAAGGGAAAGAGATTAACCCGCGAGAAAGAGACCGCGGGAGATAGAAGTGTAGGTGAGTCGCTGGGAAGAGATCCAGCATTAAGACTCACCGCCTCCCAGCCCTTCTTCCTTGGCTGGTAGGTTGGGTCTCTTTTGGAGGTCTTTCTGTGAGACCCAACATGATAGGGAAAGAGGCCACATTTGGAGCTGATGACCGTTCGTTCACTTCATTCACTCCCTCACCCACTGTCCTGACCAAAGGGAAGAAGTGGACAGTGGACCCGGCACGTGCCCGGGGATGGCCAGGTATCCACAACATTTGGCACGGGGGCGGTCCCACTAAACCGACCTGGGATTCGATTGTGGCGACTTGGCGGTTTGGGACTTAGCGGCAAACAAATGCAATTTCCCTTTGGGACCAATTTTTGCGGTTTGGGACAATGATTCCTCTTGTCCCTATGGTTGTAAAGAGCCCCCGAAGATAGGCACAAGGGCTTTCTGGCGCCTAGGGCCCCATAAGCCGATGTTGGGTCAATTGTAGGGCCGCTTTCGGGAAACTTTCTTGTTGCAAGATCAGTGAAATTTGCAGCACTGGCCAGTGCTTCAGGACCAATTCACAAGCAAGAAAAGGAGCGGGTTCTTGGTTCAAAGGCACCCCAAATGATTGCCTCGTTAAACGGCGGCACAAGGCGGCACCAGGTCCCAAAAAGGGATCATATTCTTGACAACACCCCAAATGATCGCAAATCGTCACTAGGCTGCAGCTCCTCCTGCCATGCGGCTGAATTAGACTTGGCCCGTGGACCTCATGTGATGCTTTTCCGAAGACATGGGTAGCTTTTCCCACGTGGAAAATATCAAATTAAATCTTTTTCCCCTATAGTCATTCCATCAACCCATGAAAAAAGCCTGGGACCCGGTCCGGCCGGCCCCAGAAAACTAGCAAGGGAAAACCTGGCCCAAGAGCTAGCAAGACCATCAACCCCGATTTGATCTCTAAAGGGAAACTAAAAGGAGGTTGATCAATAACAGGTGGTGTTCATTCATCATGCCCTGTGGATCCCAGATACCACTATATGGGTAACCAGCCATTTGCCTTTTTGCTGTTCAAAGGTGATCTCCTTGGTAAGCTTACACATTTGTTTTTTGTTGTTTCCGAATCAGTGGAATTCTGAAAATGCTTTCTGATCCCTATCCCCCATTTGTCAGCCACCCAGGATGTAAGGAATCTGGACATGTTTCTGCATGCTCTTATTTCGGAACCCACAAAGAACTCTTCTTCTTATTCTTCCTCTTCTTCTTCTGCTTCTTCTTCTTCTTTTTGTGGACCCTCCGCTTGGTTGAGGTTTTGGACCCCCCAAAACCAAAGTGGGGCGCCCCCTTCCGAAACCCAATTCGCCGTGCGAATTTGAGACGAACGCGCCTCGGGGGCCATGAAGGGCGGCGTGCCCGCGATCTCGGTGCCGCGGCCTTCCGGGGACAACCTGCGGAGCGCCAGCGCCAGGAAGCGCCAGCGGTTGGGGTGGAGGAGTCGGAGCAGTCGGAGGAGTCGGATGGCCCGGAAGCGGCGGCAGGAGTTCCGGAAATGGAGTTTATGGGGGATCTTGGGGTTTGGGGCCGCAAAAGTTACCAATGAAAGAGTTGGGTGTGTCTTTTCAATGGGTTGGCTTAGGAAAAAAAGGTTTAGCAACCAGTTTGGGGGTTCCATATCCTAGACACAGCCATGTAGCATATAAATGCAGAATCTCTGTTCTACACATATGTCTGAACAAAAGAACATATACGTAAATTATAATATATATGCATATGTTGCTACTCCTACTCCTGCTCCTACTCACTGATATGGCCATGGAAATGCCCTTTCCAAGCCAAAAAGTGTCCCTTGCGCCTGAAAAAACAGCTGAGAGACCGCGCCTACCCTTTTGGATTTTCTTTCAGGAAAAAAACACGGGAACTACACAAAGGATTTCATGTTTACGGGACCCCGCACGTAGGATTGGTCAATCCGAGCGTCCATCGCTACACCAAGCTGGTCCTTCGCTAACAGCTCAAAGGGTCAGGGAAGCCATCTGTTTAAGCTTGGAAAGACATTGGAAAGCAACCTTTGTAAGAAAGCCAACGTGCGCCAAACAACGGATAACCAGAAGACTCGGTTTGGGCCAGGCCCCCATCTTTTACGCGTCGGGACAGAAAATTCGACAGAACCCGTTTCAACGCGGGTTCTTGAGGGCGCCCATGGCTCATGCGAAAGGCTTGTAGAAAAGTTTGGGGCTGCCAAGGGATGCCAAGGGTCGTCAAGGGTCGAAGGGGAATCCGCCCTTGGCCGAACCAGGGCTGGCGTGTCGATCCTTGCCCGTGACGTGCAAGCCGTCGAGATTCCCCAAACCCAACGGGGAGGCCGTGGGGACAAGTTGCACAAAATATTCTGGCCAGCTACAAACCTCTCAGGCGGCCCATCAATTGTTTCCTCTCAAACTCGGCAAATCCGGAACGGTTCATGCCCATTGTGTATCTGAAGGGCTCGCCCTTCAGAGCTTTCATTTGTTTGGACGAAGGGAATGGTCAAAGTGGGCGCCCTGTCAAGTGCCGAAGGCAAAACCAAACAGAATCCCGCAACGCGGTGGCCCAAACTACTTGCTGCAGGCATGTTTCTGGAAGTCCATCCATTGGTGGGGTTCCCATCGTTGGAGGATGTGGAATGGGCACAGGCTCTGTAACCAGCCAAATTTGCGCAATCAAACGGGAGCACATCCCAGCGTTGTTTTGTTCGGCGCTTGTTTGCGATTTTTTCTCGTGAGATAGCCGCGCAACTGAAATTGGGGCAGTTCCCCATCCATTTGTGCAGGCCTCCAGGGGCAATGCGGGGGGGTCAGGATAAGCAGCCAAGCTCTCAATCAGTCCGGAAAAAATAATAATAATATACATATATATATATATAAATATATAAACATATTTGATTACCACCCTCATAGATCCGCTCGGGTTGTGACTTCATGACTCGCGGCCGGAAGGCCGGCACACCTTTCTTTGGCGCACACGTTTCTTGTTGAAAATGGAAGCTTGGCCAACCGTACTCCCGATAGGGGAAACCGCTTGACAAAATCCTACCAAGGACCTGGTTGGCCAAGATATGGAGAAGGTTAAGCCATGGTTGTTTCAACTAAACACCTGGGAATTGGGTTCCTCATGTTGTTCAGCCTTGTGCCAGTAGGATTTCATGTCTTGCGCAGAAATCGTCTGAGCCCCAGACATTCTTCCACAACGGGAAGCCGGTTTAAAGCGGCGTCCGCGACTTTTTTCGGCTCAAAGGCAGCTGTCCATCCCCGGCACCAGCACCACGTTGCCAGCAGCGCCACCGGCAGAAGGCGCCATCACCTCCATTTTTGCTCGCAAACTGACGCCACATGGGCGCTGCTCCCACGAAAAGCAGCATCCTTTTCTGTGTTGCTTCCTGGTGGCCAAGGGAACAGTTCTGGGAGCTTCGTCAAGCGCACGCCTACGGCTGCACTTCTGCCCAAAATTCAAACGCTCCTCTCTCTTTTAGGGGGACCCAATTTAGGTTCTATAGACAAAAGCCAAACACCTCCCGCCAATCCAACCAATTGATCCTTCAAACAATCACCTTCCCTATAATGGAGCGACATCGGAGGGTTTTGGAATCTGACAGACAAAATATCGTCTGCACATCTTGCGGGTTGGCCAGGCTAGGCTTTTCACCTGTCAGGACAAACGGATTGGCCCGTGTGTCCCTTGGCATCTGATCCCAGTTTTACGCCAAGAAACAGTGCGCGGGCCAAGAAAACACATCCTACACAATCTAAACGAAAAACGGGTCTGACAAACAGAGACTACGGAAAGCTTACGACTCGTGACTCATCCAACGGCATTCACAGGACCTTCCGATCGAATACGAATCTGGTAAAAACGCTTCCGGTTGCAAGAGTAATTTCCATGTTTCATGTTTAATCTACGGGTTTTGTTTCATTGTTTTTTCGCCGCTCATGTCGGGTGTGTGTGTCACACATCAGGGGACCCTTTAAATGCTCGCGGTGCTCGTTTGGTTTCCCTTCAAACAACCTCAGAGGTCGAAAAGGTCCTGACGGGACCTATAAGGGGAGCATTGGCGACCTAAACTGGCTAGAACTGGATTGGTTGCCTGGTTTCCATGGGGCAAAACACCCTTTCTAAACCAGTGGAACCCGTCTGCTTCTAAGAAAACGAACCGATCAAAAGGACACCTATTAATGTGGCAATGCCCTCAGCGAATCGGACAGGCAGGATGACAAGGAACGGACCCTGTCTGAACAGAATCCGTGAAGGAACGACCCGACCGAAAGATAACATGGAGCTCAAAGAAGAGGTTTGGTTGGATAAAATGTGTGTTTCCGCCCAAAAAAAGGGCATGGTAATTGCAGCCAAGAGACGTTGCAAAGAGCAAAGAAGGTGTGGGTCCCGAGCGCAGCACAAGTAACTCGCTTGTGAGCTAGGATGCGTGTTTCTCCGTTTACAGATGGGTTCTAATGACACCACTTGGAGTCTCAATGCGAAAATTGAATAACCACGAATGATGCCCTGTCAAAAGGGGCTCCAGGTTTTAAAAAAAGAAACATTAGCAATGCAAAGCTCACCAGGCAACCAGAAAGTGAGGTGCCAACCTGAAGATGTGGTTAACCGATCACATGATATAGCCTTGTGGCTTTGGTCATTGCTTTGATGCAACCCAGAAGCAACGTACAGCAGCTTTCACGGCGCCTCCACGTGCGCCTTGCCCGCTTCGCTGAGTGGAAGCTGCTGGGCGACCACTGGCACCTAAGCTACGAGCCGGGCAAGCTCGTTGACCCCTTGCCAAGAGCCAAACTGTGCATGAGAGATGCCAGAAATCCCTACATCTAAAGAAGTCTAGAAGTCTAAGGGTGTTTGTTGCTGAACTGGATGAACACCAAACACGAGTCACCGGTTACAAGAGTCCCCCACAGAGGGTATAGCCGGGAAGCGCCAAGCAAGCACCCCTAACTGTCGTTAGCAGACCCCATAAACATGGACAGAACCAAGGGAAAGACCGGACTAGAACGTCACATAATGCCGAGCCTGAGTTAACTCACGTCCCTGATACCTTGGCCAAACCGTCACGTCCCGTCACTTGTGTAAGATGTCACCCAACAAGTGACTGAAGCTCCGAAAACGGAACTCGATGGATTGAGATACTTCGCGGGTTCAGAGGGGGGCCTCTTCTTTCATGATTTCCGAACCCGCCCCCAGGGGCTTCTCTTCCCGAGCTCCTATGACTCCATCCTCCCCATAGCAATAGGCGACCAGAATTCTTGCCAGCTGTTCAGTTGGGAACGCAACATGGCCGGTGTCCTTCTCATATTTAATTTGGGGGGGGGGAGGAATTCTCACGGAAAAGCCCCCGAAAAGTTAAGGGCAACCAAACGAAAACCCACCAAAGGGAAGCCCTGGGACATGGAAACCTATTTGCGAAAATATGCACTTTTTTGGAAAATATGGACTTTCCAGATTCCCAAAAATCCTCGCAAAGAGTATCAAAAACATGGAGACCTTTGAAAAAGTGCATATTCCCAGGGAATACGCACTTGTTCAAGACATATGCACTTTCTCGCGGTTTTTCAAGAATCTCCACAGGGAAATGGTGGTGATCGTATCAATCCCCCCCTTCCCCCTGAGGCTTGGAGCACGAAGGCCTTCGAAGGTTTAAGGTGAGGAGGGTTTAGACTTTGGGGGATTCTTTGGGATATGGGGGTTGATCAATTCTCCCTTCGGGCCCCAAAAGACCACGGTAACGTTTCCCTTTTAGTGGAGAACGTCAAATCTGTTTGGTGGTCTTCCCCAATGGTCATCCCATGTAAAGGACCTTTTGATCCACCCCCAATGTCTTTTTGTTTCCCTCGGATTGTTCATGGCAGGAAGGAGGTTGCGCCAGTTGGAACTTTGATCCAGGAAACCATTCAACACCTTCCCCAAACGTGTCTATCTTTTAGAGCTCTTGAGACCCCCAATTCAAAGGGTTCCGAGAAGGGAGCGATGGCCATCACCCACGTAACATGTCTTGAGCATGGCACACACAAGTTGTTTTTCTTTCTTCTCGTGCGACAAGAGTCCACGTTCAAATTGCACTAGTCAAGAACCCTCATTCCGGAATCCAACTGTGGACTCCGAGGTTCGAAGGACGCCTTTTTCGGCATTTCGGCCGTGCCCGCTGCCAAGCAGCTAGCGCACGCCTTTCCATGGCGTCATAGAGCGCAGCGTGCGTGTCCTGTGACCATCGACCAATCCCGCCCAAAGTGCGCCTGCTGGATCGGTGAAAGCCGCACACAGACAAATCCTGAACCGCAGATATGAGTGTTGCTTCATGGTACCCTTTTTTGGCTGGATTTAAAGGGAACAAACGGACATTTGGGGTACCCTATTTTGAGACAAAGCCACATGAACAAAGGATGCACGCCTGTCGACCACCGTCGAGTCGAGTCTGGACAAATCCTAGCCTGGTCAACGAAAACGTGGCATCATTTATGCCCCTGTGAAGCGCCATCTTTGTGGTGACGAGGGGAAATCTGGGTCCACTAAAGTCACATCCTGGAAGTGAGATCCTCAAAATAACCCCCGAAATCTTGCTTTCAAGGCGTTCCCCACTCTCAAACCGATTTTTTGAGACCCTCTCAAACTAGATGGGCGCAAAAAACATCGGGTGCTGTTCATGTCCTTGAGCTCAGAAGCACTGGCAGAGCCCAGGAAGACGCCTTTCATGTCGATCTCCTTGGGCCTCAGAGAGCAGTGAAGAACGAGCTGAGTGACGCCCAAGTTCACCGAGTGTAACGAGGACAAACGAGGACAAGCCATCCGAATGTGCAAGAGCATACGAGTTACTCGGCTAGGGTGTTTGGAGGTATGGATGCTATTATATACCACCAATTTCAGCTGGTATGGAAGTAAATCTACTCCTACAAGTGGCATTTCTCACCGCTTTGGAAAGTCCCTATTCTTGATCAAGCATCAGTTTCAAAGGAATTGTCGGGGTTGATTCCAACCATTATTTTCAACCATCCTTCTTTTCCAACACCGGGCATGTTTTCTGGGTTTCCGGAGGATTTCTAGAACGAAGGATCCCTGGAAAGAATGGAGAAGGTAGCAGGTACCCGCGAGAAATTCGCGGTTTGGAGCCTTTGGACTTCAAGCCCTTGTCCTTGTAGAAAATAAATGGGTTTGCCCCCCCCCGGAACACCAAACCACCAAACCAAAACCACCAAAAAAAAACAAAAACGGGAAAGACTCTCTTCCGATCGTTGATGTGGATTGAAATAGTTGCAATGATTCAGGCTCCAGGCAAAAAGTGGCGAAGGGTTAATCGGTTGAATGGAGGAGCAACCCTGGTGGATGAGAAAGTTGGCTGTCGTCACTGAGAACGAAGCGTGCTGGGGCCAGCACTGACACAGTATTTGGTCGGGGGTGGGAGGGCATGTACTATTCTAGTAGGGGTTTTAGGGCAAACAAGCGAAACACACTTTTTGTTGAGGGGTTACACATCCTACTTTGAGGGGGTGTTTCAAGGGACACCAAGCAAACTCATCTTTTCTTTTGGGGAGGGGGTCCATATCCTAGTCCAAGAGTTGTTTGTTGGGGAACCAAGCAAAAACCAACATGTTTCTTGGGGGGGTCTTCCATATCCCAATTTGAGACGACACGTTTCCATCTGCTTCCCGTGTCCGCACCCTGAGGCTGCAGCATCAGCAGGCGCGGGTTTACAGCCACGGGCTCTGCCTTGGAGCCCACGATGCCTCGGCTTCGAACGAATGGCCGGGAGGCCGCGTTCGCCATACACGAAATCCATTTCACACCTAAGAAACCGTGCCCCCAAGAATGGTGGTTGTGCTTTTGGTTTTCCCTGTAAAACCAACTGGATGACGGCGAAATCCATTTGACAGCCTTTGACCTGAAGGTTCAGGCTGACGCGACACAGCCGGCCACCGGCCGGGCACCCTACCCTTCGCTTCGTTTTCTTCCATCTCTACTCTTGGTATGGTAGCAAAAAACTTTGTTTTTGCAGACCCCCAGTAAACATGAACAGAACCAAAAAACTAAAAAACCAATTACACCAGCATAGACCCCAGATAGCACACCACGGATACGAACCATGACGCAGCATTATCATGATGATGTAGACCATGATGACACCACAGCCACGAAACAAACGCGCAGACAACGTCCTAATGAGATCAGCAGCATAATGATGATTTTGAGAGCAATCCGGCAGGAAAAAGCAAAAACGAGGTCCTAATGAGTTCGACAGCATCATGATGATGCGGACAGCATCATGATGATGAGGACAGCATCATGGTGATGCGAACAGCATCATGCTGATGGTAAAGGCAGCATCATGATGATACCACAGCCACGAACCATCTTGCGACAGCTTAATGAAATTCTGCATCATCCTGATGTTGACAGCATCACGGCGCCACTACACCCACACACCATAACGTGGGAACATCATGGCGATACACCAGCCACAAACCGTTACACGCGAACAGCATCCACCAGCACCCCAAACATGCCCCCTAGCACCCGGTACAACCAAAGCAGCATCCACCCGCGCCCCAAACTGCATGCCCCTTAGCACCCGGCCGTCAAGCTCGCAAAGCAGCATCCACCAGCACCCAAACTGCATGCCCCCTACAACCGGCCGTCAAGCTCGCAAAACAGCATCCACCAGCACCCCAAACTGCATGCCCCCTAGCACCCGGCCAGCTCGCAAAACAGCATCCACCAGCAGCCCAAACTGCATGCCCCCCAGCACCCGGCCGTCAAGCTCGCAAAACAGCATCCACCAGCACCCCAAACTGCATGCCCCTAGCACCCGGCCAGCTTGAAAAACAAAACAGCATCCACCAGCACCCCAAACTGCATGCCCCCAGCACCCAGCCGTCAAGCTCGCAAAACAGCATCCACCAGCACCCGAAACTGCATGCCGCTCGCCGGCCAGCTCGCAAACCAGCAGCCCCCCACCCGGCCGTCAAGCTCGCAAAGCAGCATCTACCAGCACCCCAAAATGCCCCCTAGCACCCGGCCGTCAAGCTCGCAAAGCAGCACCCACCAGCACCCCAGACTGCATGCCCCCTAGCACCCGGCCGTCAAGCTCGCAAAGCAGCACCCACCAGCACCTCAAACTGCATGCCCCCTAGCACCCGGCCGTCAAGCTCGCAAAGCAGCATCCACCAGCACCCCAAACCGCATGCCCCCTAGCACCCGGCCGTCAAGCTCGCAAAGCAGCACCCACCAGCACCCCAAACTGCACGCCCCCTAGCACCCGGCCGTCAAGCTCGCAAAGCAGCATCCACCAGCACCTCAAACTGCATGCCCCCGAGCACCCGGCCGTCAAGCTCGCAAAGCAGCATCCACCAGCACCTCAAACTGCATGCCCCCCAGCACCCGGCCGTCAAGCTCGCAAAGCAGCATCCACCAGCACCTCAAACTGCATGCCCCCTAGCACCCGGCCCTCAATCTCGCAAAGCAGCATCCACCAGCACCTCAAACTGCATGCCCCCTAGCACCCGGCCGTCAAGCTCGCAAAGCAGCATCCACCAGCACCTCAAACTGCATGCCCCCTAGCACCCGGCCCTCAATCTCGCAAATCACTTTCCCCTCTTTATTAGAAGTTAGAACCCCTATAGCTTTCAGCTATCTGGGGAAAAAACATGGCGACGCTTCCCTTAATTGTTTGTTGCCTTTCTTTTTAGCTCCCTTCATAAGAAAGCATGGTTCGTTGTGATTTACGTTGGGGAATCAGAGTTTCTTGGGTTTTAGGAGGTGCGAACGCATCTCGTCCATCTGCAAGTAAACCAACAAACCATCTGATGGAATTGACTTTACAGCGGATCCGACTTGTTCCCTTGCAACATTAGGGCATCCACATTTGCGGGGTGTTTTCTTTAAAATGGTTTTCGGTTTTCCCCAGGTTTTCGCTTTAAAACCACCAAAAAAAGGTGCCCTCAAAAAAAGGGCACACCCGTATGGTAGCAAACGACCCTCTTGTTTGCAGCACACTAAGAATCAACAAGACCAACACTGGCTTGAATGAGTGCCTAAACGCTTTGCGTGGTTTGTGTTCTACAAAGCTTGCCCAGCCCTGCCGTCTGGACACAAATTCAATCTGCACATTTGCCTGACAGGTAAGAACATGATTCGAAGCATTTCTTTTTGGTGGCTTGGTCCCTTTGTGACCGGATTCCAAACCCACCAGGTGAGCTCGTTGTGATTTGGAGAGATGGTTCCACTGCTCCAAGGAAAAACGGGTATATAACCACTAGCATAACATTGGTGAGGGTTGTATGCACCATGTCCGCTTGGGAGTAGTGGCTTCAGCGGCAAACAACTTGGGGAGACATGCTTGGCAGCAAACAGCTTCGCGCACAGAACCGATGATCATTCTCAGTGCTGGCAAGCACTGTGGCAGCTGAAAGATAGTACGACCTGGCGAACGCATGTTCACTCCCACAACTCGCCGCCCTCAGATCCCCCGCTAAAAGTTTAACTTTTAGGGGCTAACTGGAAACTAGCACTAACGCCAAAAAACAAAAAGGCTAAGGAACCGGATGGCTGGGAGCCACCAAGTCTTTTGAGACGAGCCATCCCCGAACCTGAGCTTCGTAAGTCGCTCCGAAAGGAGTTCGTCTCCAAGTGGCAGAGTCTGCACTTCGGGCCAGCGAGCTGCAAATCCGCAGGGAGGTTGGCATGGGCCGCCATCTCCTAGCTTCAGATGTGGGTCAAAATTAAACCACCAGACCGCAGATTTTAGTCCATGTTTCCTCTCAGGTTCCGTCTTGGGTACCTATTTTTGACCCACGGCTAAACGGGTGGTGACTCGTCTTTGTCGGAGTTTCTTGGTCTGAATTGTTTGAAGGAAAACCAAAAGGAAAACGGAAATCCATTGTTGGAGGTCCCCTTAAAACAGATACACCCAAATGCTTTGGCCATCGCATAGCTGTACTTCCCAGCCATTGCTTCGGATGTTCAGAACATGGTCCAAGCCAGAATCGTTTTAGTTGTTCAGAAGAATGAGATTCACCTTGTCAGGGTGCGCCTTCCTTGTAAAAGGGAACGGACGTGATCATTGATCTCTCACACTCCTCAAGACAAGGAATGCGCCCTATCCCCAGCAGCCGGGTTTCCTTTCATCCCTCCAACCAAAGGTTGTCCAACTCCACTTTTCCTGCTGGTGCGCTAGGTAGGGAGTGGCCTTCCAGGTTTTAGGAAGGAACCGGAAGGGGATTCCCTTGAAGGAACCTAACGGGCATGGCTTTTTGTTGGGGTCATTCCAATTCTCATTCCCTTCCTCATCTGAAAGTTCTTACCTCTTTCCAATTCTCACGCTAGGAATTCCCTTCGTATTCCTTGGAAGAATTCGAATTGGAATGCACCAAAGAATTCCAATTCCGCGTTTTGCCCTGTGACTCTGACGCCGTCGCGTCCAGGATCACGTCGAAGCCCTCCGGCGCAGCAGTCTGGCACTTCGCGATGTAGCCCTCCTCACCTGAGTCGCCCTTCTCGGCAGCGGAACCCGGGCCCTGCTGCCAGGGGTTGATTCCAGAGCAGCGCACACCTGTTGACTTTTGGCCTTTTGGCGCCACCAATATGGCCATATTCATATATATATATACCTGAACCCTCAAAATTCCCTTAAAAATGGGTTTGACCCCCAAATTTAGATATTGGCCTGTTTTCGCCCTGCCAACTAGAACCCCCATGAAACCAGGCAGAACCATCTAAGGGGCCAACTGATTGCAAACACAAGTGTCCTGATGTGGATGGACGAAAGCCATTTCGCACCACCTTTCAGACACCCCGGTTTTTGAAAATTCCCCTGCAAATATCCACCAACAATGGTTTCAACCATGCTTTCTTAGGTGGTGCGAAATGTACTTCGTGCATCCACAAGTAGCCCGCCACTGTCTTCAAACCTGGTTCGAGCGTTCTTTTGGCCGTGTGTGCACTGCATTTGTGTCCATTCTGTAGCACATGAGTTCATTGAACTGTAGGTGGTTTTCTTCCAAACCGTGGCCCGACTCCAGTGTTTGGACGCAACCTCGAGGCTTGAATCGCCCCAGGCCATAGGCGATGTTGCGGCAAAAAACCTCAAACACCAAAAGCCATACCGAACAACCATAATCCTGACAGATGCCCACAATCCAGTCCGCTCCCCTGCAAAAAAGCACATCTTCTCCAAAAAGTGGGCCCCCAAAAGCGGATTCGAATCTTCAATGTGCTTAGTGGTCCCATGTGAATCTGCAGGGCTGCCATTTTTGAACCAAACACTAGGACACAACACGTGTTTGGAAAACATGTTGTGGAAAAAAACAGGCATAAGGAATTGAAAGGTGACCTGTGCCCGAGAGCCATTCCATAAGTCCACTTTGCCCCCCCCTTTCACCTTCCAAAGGGGAACCAAAAGGCAAAACGCTGTTGTGTTTTGAGGGTTCTCTTGCCAAGCTTGGTCCAAGGGAAACGAAACGGAAACCCTTGCCATTTTCAGGATTTTCAGACATACCTACTCAATCAAAACCTGACACCCCAAATTATATTGGACTTTACAGGGAAACCCAAAGGGGAGAACCGAGATCATTTCCATTTCGGACCCACCCCTAAAAAACACACAGACGCGACACAGACACAGACACAGACACACACACACACACAGAACACTGTGTTCACTTGCAAAACCAAGGTCCCTAAATTCTGTCTGTCCAAATCCCCGCAGCTTTGCGCTCGCCCCGCGAGCCACAGCTCCGTACGGTACCTCGACGAGGGGCGGTGGCAAATGGCCACATCGGCGCCGGCCGAGGCGATCGCCTGAAGCCCCGCAGAAGTGCCGGCAGTGCCCACCACGAAGCAGCCCAAGTCTTTCCTTCGCGAAGAAAGAAAAGCGTGTGCTTTTTTTGTTCTTCTTCTTTTTGAGCTGGTAACGCTGTTTGGTAGGTTGTCAGGGAAACCAAGGGAAATCCTTCGCGAAGAAATCCGCGCGCCTTTTTTGGGGGGGCTGGTAACTCCTTTTCGGTAGGATTTCAGGGAAACCAAGAACAAAACAAAATCCATTTTGGGGGTTCCCTAGAAGAGGAAGCGCACGCATCGAAGTTCATGACATGGACCCGGAAGTTCGGGCCGGGGGAAATCAACCGTGTGGATGGACAACATGGGTTTGGGTTTCAAATTGATTCTGGTTGGGCCTTTCAGCCACTTCAGAAGATTCAAATCGAAATGGGACAAATCGACTTCAAACCAGCTGCTGGGCGGTTTATGCCTGTTTGCGGCGGGCTTCACGTATCCCACTTTAAGACCATGGGAAACCATTGTTGTTGGTATTTACAGGGGAATCATCAGAAACCAGGGTTTCTGAACGGTAGTGAGAAATGGATTGCGTCCATTGGAACGTTGGCGGATTGTCTTCCAAAGGGGTGTGCAAGGAGTATGTGCAAACGGCTTAGGAGGGGGCCATACCACTTACCACCCCTTGGTTCACTCATCTCGCCCATGAAGCCCTAAGTTGGTAGACCTGCGCTCGGTTGGCATGTAAAGAAAAGCCGAAAGGAAAACCTTGCGAATTTAGCGGCTCCTATTTGGAGAAACACCCATTGAACTGGTATGGCCCAAACCTCTAATTCAAGGTATGTTTTTTGTGGTTGGTTGGTTTACTTGCGATATTTGGGGAGGGAAGCTTTTCTTGTGGGTTCTCTATTCAGGATGGTTCAAAGGGAAACGAAAACCCTTTGCCATTTTAAGAGCTCCATTCGAAACATTGTGACAGCCCGCACAATGTCAAAGTGATTTTGTTTGGACCCTCTGGACATCATTTAGGTGCAGATTCGTATCCACATCCACCAACCATGTTGGAGGTGGGTCGCTCCCTCTTGAGATTCATGGCCACTTGGGTATGTGTCAAAACGAGACCCCCAAAATGGATTTCGGGCTTCCTTTTGGTTTCCCTTCAAACTAATCCCAACAAGGGTACCAGCAAAGCAAGACGAGTCCAGCTAGGGCATCCACCGGGTCACCCCCCCCCCCCCGTTCCAACTCAGGCTCGCCAGCATCACCGCGGCCAGGCCAACGGCGCCGCTGGCGCCGTGCACAAATACCCGCCCGGCGGCCTGAGAGGCTGAGAGGGCCACATCTGGGTAGAACATAGCTCGGTTGCTTTCTGCTCCCCTGCTAAAAGTTTAACTTTTAGTGGTTTAGTGGAAAACCCATGAGTTGGCAAAAAGTTAAAGTCCTAACAGCCAAGCAAAATGCACCAAAGATAGATCTTGCCTGACATATTTGTTCCGCAGCTCACCCACCCGAAAGGGGAGCTGCCGGAAGGCGTCATGCTCCAGCTTGCAATGTCTCAAAATATGCATGGCACCCCTATGGGTCCGCCTGACTGTTTTGCGGTACCCCTTTTCGGCCAGTTTTAAAGGGAAACCAAAAGGAACAGCGAAATCGGTCCAACATCAACTCGACTCACCCATATTAGGTCTACCCTAAAATCACAATGGTTTTGGACGCTTTGGAAGAGGACCCTGTTTGGTCCATAGGGGTGCCGGACTTGCTCTACCTTGTTTTTGAGCGGGGCTTTGTTGTGCGAGGCGTTGTTTTGCGGGTCCTTGACACCCCTTGGCGTAATTGGCGGCTGTTTGCGCACACCAATGCTCATAGATTGGGTGTGGGAGATATGCAAGTTTCTTGCTTGTTCTCGGTAGGAAATCTGATTGCCTTTTCGAGAATGAGCCCCAACTGACCATCCACTGCAGCAACCAAAGACTTGATTGGTGGCTTCCTTCCTCATTCCGGGCTGAGAACCGGTGAATTGCGCATGCCACTGAACCAGCGGCTTTGGAGTTGATCGACTCCATTTGGCCGGAGTTGGGGTCAAGCCTGCCAAGGGCAGGGGCGCTTGTTTTCTTGGGGTTTCTCAAAAAATGGGGACCCTGCAGGTGGTGTCCTTTTGGTTTCCCCTAAGACCATGCAAAGAGCGGGTCGATTCTGATTTTGAGAAACCCCCACTTCCGAAACTGAGAATCCCTTCCAGTTGGCTTGTTGATTATCCAAAAACGGCTCCTTTCCAAACCTGCGCAGCCAAAAAGCTTTGTTCTGTTGCCGCCCCTTTCCAGCAACAGTCAAACATCACTAAACATCTAAAAACCTGGGACAAACCACACAACAACACTAAACAAAATACTAGAAACAAACGCGCGAAGAACATATTATCGAACACCAAGCCTTGAACTCGCGCCACTTTGCCGCTCGATTTCCCTAAAGTAGCCTGCTAAGGAGCGCGCGCGCGCTTGCGCCTGGGCGCGGAAGCGCAGGGCGTAGTAGGCGGTGGCGCAGGGCACTCCCACGCAGGCGCCCTCCGCAAACGTGATGCCATCCTGGGAATTCCATTTGCTTAAGAAGATGTTGTAGCTTCCCCTGTTGGTTTCAAAAGGAACTTATCACTACTGGAAATATCCATTGCTTCCAGGGGTCTTAACCAAACGGAAGATGAGACTCGGTGGTTGGGACTTGCAACCTTGCAACTCTGCAGGAAACTCCATGGTTTCATGGGGGCTGGAGAGGGGAGGGATGGGAGAAGGGAGGGGTGGTATGTTGATTGCCAGAAATTCGGCCACTGGGGTTGGTTGCAATCAGTTGCAACCGGTTTGACCGTTCGTCTTCGAAGAAGGTCGCTTTGGTGGAAGTTCGATGGTTGCACGGGGGCTGAGGGAGGGGTGGGAAGAAATCCGATCGGCCTTTCAGTGGCAGAAACAACGATTTGAAAGCGCTCAGTGCTCAGCGGAGTTTCCTCGTGCCGGCAGGATGTGAGAATCCTAAATCTTGGTCAAACTTGGACGCAGACGCAAAAAACTCACTTTTGGATGGTCAAAGTGCAAAAACATGAAACCACGAAAAGGCGAAAGGATGTGAAAAGCATAAATTTGAGTCTGACAATGCTCCCATCAGGTGCATTCTGGGAGACTCTCACCGTGCGGGCCATCTAATGTTAACCCCGGATTAAGCAAAACTGGTTGATTTTGATCGGGGTCCCGGTGCCTAGTCGGAATCCGGATATTATTTTTGTCGGTGGCAGCCCCTATTGCGCTCCAGTCAGAATTTTGATATCACTTTTGTAAGTGACACCCCCCCTATTAGGGTCAACTTCGGATTTATCCAGAGGACCATGATGTTGACCCCGGATTCAAGACAAAAAACATGTTTATTGATATGGGGGTGTTCCCCTCCAAAAGTGGTCCGAATCCCCACATTTCACCCAAAAACACGCCCCCTATGAATAAACAGGGGCTAATTCATCCGGGGTCAACATTACTAGGCATGATCCATCTTAGGTCCTCCAACTAGGCTGCGCCGGATTCCGAAGCTCGCGTTCGTCTCCGTGGATTGGCCAACAAAAGTCTCACTTTTTGTTTGTCCCTTCGAAATGGTTTAAAGTCCGAAACGGAGTTCGGGAAGTGAGCCAAGATGGATTGAGATACTTTGCGGATTAGGAGGCACCTCTTTCATGGGTTGCCCCCCACCTCAACCCGAGCCAAGTTGCTATCTAGGTCCCTCCTCCCACAATAGACTACCCTCAACCCACGTTCTTTCTTCCGGGGCTTCGCTTCGAAGCGACTCGACTCGAAGCGACTCGAAGCGACTTTCTCGTCATGGCACCGGCAGGGGGAAGACCCCCGCAGCATCCAGGTTGGCATGGCTGGCGTAGGTGCCAGTGCCGCCGGCGCAGGTGTACCTCACGTGGGGGTTGCACGGAGGTTTAAAGTGGCCAGGTGTACCTCACGTGTAAAGGGCGTGCTGGGAATGCATGGCTTCCTCTCGCTTGGTGTTTGAGCCCTTGAAATTTTGCGGTGCTGACATGATGTTTGCCGAAGTGGCGATTCTCGGGCTGGAAGGTTGAAGGGAAAAGCAACCGAGTTCAAGGAGGATTTCGGTGGTATCATTAAAGGAGAAACCTCGTATGATGATATATATATATATATGTATATAGTCCTCCACGAACAAGATGGGGGACTGCTTGCATTTTGTAATCTCCAAGCGACTCAGGAGCAATTGTCTTTGATTCAACAGTCGGACCCTTTTGCAAGACAACTCCAGAAGTTGATTCGCGATCCATTTCAAGCATTGTTCTTTGCAACTGCGGAAGTGGCTTTCCGAAACTCTGAAAAGGACTCCAAGCATAGGTGTCCTTTTGAAAATAGATGAATTTCCCTGAACAAGTCAGGCAGGAGCCGCCAACTATTTTCAACCACAACCAAAAAGAAATGACACCTACTGTGGATGGACGAACACCACCGTTCAGAAACCCTGGAATGATTCGATTCCCCTGTAACTACCAAGACACAATGGTTTGAACCATGGTTTCTTCAGTCAGCCGCAACCATCCACAGTATGGATTCCTCCTGGTTTCCCCTGGTTTCCCCTGGTTTCCCCTGGTGTCCCCCTGGTGTCCCCCTGGTGTCCCCCTGGTGTCCCCCGTGGTTTCCCCAACCGAAACAACCAAAAAGACATGACACCTATGGAGCTCTGGATTCCAGGCTTCGCCAAGCTGCACTCGCTGGCCCACCTTGAGGTGGGTGACATCAGGTGCCACCTCCTCCACCACACCAGCGCCATCCTTGCCTGCCAACACGTGCACCGACCGGACCACCTGGAAGCAGAAAGGAAACCCGTGTTGAGATTGACTCACTTCCTGAGTGGACCGGCCAAACAAAAGTCCAGACTTGTTCTTCGGCACTAAAATTGTGGTTCAACCCAATATCATGCTAAAGTTCATGAACTCAGAGAGTGAGAAAATTGACCCGGTTGAATGGGGGATTCCACCAAGCAAGAGGGGGGATTTACAGGCGAGTCCACTTCTTCAGTAAACCTCTTGGCTTAGAAAGAGGGTGTTGCGTGAGTGCCAAGACACCCCTCACTGCGATCATGGCAGTGGCTTACTTCAGGGCTCCCGAAAAAATGGTTCTCCCTTAAGTATCACTGGCTGGAAGGGAAATATGGGTGTCTCTCTTTTTGAGGCCACAGCGGTTTTTGTGCTTCCTTTTTCAAGGAAAGCCCATTGACCTTTTCGGGGGGATGTGCTTGGCAATAGGTGAAGGATCCGCCCCCCCTGGGTTGAGTTTCTCCCCACCCACCCCACCTGGCGTCCATGGCAGGTTCCTTGGCTCCGGAAACAAACGCATGGAAACGTCTGCGTGCGGGCTCCGCGCTTTTCTTGAGGCACAGGCTACACTTTTGGGTTGGTTTTAGTGGGAAACCCCAAGGAGCCAAACCCATGCGCCAGAAGAGGGGGAGCCCCCCCACAAAAAACAACAGCATGACGGGCGTCCTTTCGGTGTCTCTGTAAAACCACGCCAAAAAGGGTACCAACCCAAAAAAGAACAGCCCAAATCTTGCTTGCCTTCGGCAATTGAAAAATCGAGGCCTGAAAGCCCAGTTTCGCAGATCGGATCGGGGGTTCCGGGCCTCTCCATGAAGTTGTTTCCATCCCCACAATCAAAGCTGCTGACATTGGTTTACCCTCCTACCAGTTAACATGGAACTTGACAGGTCCTTTCAGAGGAAAATGGTCTTCCGGACTTCCAGGAACCCCCCTTGACAGGTTCCATGCCAACTGGCGGGAGGGTAATCATCTCAAACACCCCCCCGCCCACAAACTCACACTTTCAAATTGGTTGGTACAGAAAGTGGCAAGCCAACCCCCCCTTCCATTTTCCTTGCTTGCTCAAAATGGGGGGGGGATACCACATCCGCAATCCGTACACCACAACAAGGCAGCCACTACCACCTGGCGCACGCGTTTGGTACTTGAATTGGGAAAACTCGTCCAAACTCGTCCAACAAACGGGGAAGAAGAAGGCACCACTTTAGTGGTCTAGAACAACCCAGCTCGGGGCATGTGCCAAAGTGGGGAATCACTTTCGGATGGTGTTTCATAGGAAGGTGAAATTGAAACCAAGCCTTTGTAGGGGGAGCCCCATTTTGACACAAACCAGTACCCAAATTGGAACCAACCTGGATATTTCTCAGGATGGCGGTCCCCTTAAATGTGCAGGGTCTCCTTTTAGCTTCCCCAGGGACAAAACAACCCAAAGAAGGCCTTTCCGAAATCCGTTTCTTGGTTCTGCTGAGGCCTCACTCCAAATGAAACCCGAAAAAAGTAGAACCTGCAAGTCAGATTTCCTCGTGGGTTGGAGCCCAGTTTGGATCAAATCGACCGCCCAACACCCATTTGCCCACAACCAGGGCCCTTCCAGCGGGCCTTGGGCGCTCTGGGTGTGCCTTTTGAGGGATCCCCCCCCAAAAAAAAGAGAGGGCTGTGGCTTCTTGGGGTACTTCTTGTTTTAAATAATATTTGGCTTAAAGACAAAGAAGAAGAGGAGCCCATCTGGAGAAACACACGCCGTGTTGGGGTACCCGTCGCCTCAAAAAAGAGAGGCAACTTCGAGGCCATTGGAACCACGTCTCGGCTGACTTTCGGCCAGGCCACGGCAGCAAGTGGGGCACTGCCGCGTAGGGTCCGTGAACACCCAGGCGCAGGTAGGTGTCGGAAGGGTTCACTCCAGCCGCCTCCACCTATGTTGCGCTCGGGTCTCCGAAGATCCGTCAGATGGATCTTTGGGATTCGGAGTGTTCGGGAAATTGATTGGTCTGGAAAACCACCAGGACAACCGGGAAATTGATTGGTCTGCAAAACCACCAGGACAACCAGGAATCGCCATCGATTCTTGACCAAAACAACCAAAAAATTAAAAGGTGGGTTTTCGGGATCCAAAGAGGGTATCCAAAGTCCAGCATGACCCATCCATCCAAATAGAGGGGCCCAAAACCCGGCGTGTCATATTGCTTTGGGGTTTGGTCTGGCACGGCAAGTCTTTGACCAAGGCGTTGAGGTCGGCTCGGTGACAGGAAAATGTGGGTGGCTTGTCTTTTGTTTGAGTGGTCACCCCTTGTGTGTGTGTGTGTGTCTGGGCTCTGAAAGAGAAACCAACTGCATATTCATGTGTGATTGATTATCTGGTGTGTTTTGTTTAATTTTTTTGTGGGGGGGGGGGGAGTTTGACACCATGCCCTGGCCTCTTTCCTCACAGACCCGCCGCCCTGTCTTGAAAACAAAGCTGCCTTTTGGTGCGCGTCTATGTGGGGTTCCCTTTAAAGCCAACCCGTCGTGTGGGAGGTTCCGGCTAGTTTCTCCGGTTCCGATATATATATATATATAAAGAGAAACAACGGGTCGGTTTTGCCCTCCAGCAAGCTGACAAGAAAAAAAAGCTGGGCACCTCCTCACTGCCTGAGTGGATCTGTCAGAACAAGTCGAAATTTGCTGACCATTAAACCGTCTTCCCCAAAAGTGACCCATCGGAAACTGAACTCGGGGAAGCTGGAAGGCACTCGCCCACTGTCAGCTGGGACTCTCTGAGCCGAAGGCCTCAAGCCAAGAAATTTCATGTCAGGGAGACCTCCAGGTGGGAGATCCGAAGGTCAAAAAAATGCGCAGGTCAAAGATTTCGAAAAACATCCATTCAAGAGCTTCGCCACAGTCCAGCTTGTCTAACAGGAGGATTCCGGAAAAAATCCGCCCAACTTTCCGCGCCTTCACCCGCACCTGTCCGGACTGCAGGGGGCTGAGCTCTTTGGAGCTCAGTTGCAGCACCTCGCAGTTTGTTTCCTCCAAGGCGAATGCTCACCCCAGATTGTTGTTAAACCTCTGGTTGAAAGATTCACCGAAAAGTTGACCCCAGATTAATAAACCCCAACCCTTAAACCCCTCGTTGGTTTTGAGCGGGGAGTGTCCAATTCCTTTCAGTGGGAGCTTCATGAGAGGGTCTCCAAATGAAACCTCAACAGAACCCGTTTCCTTTGCCCCGAGGCTCCAAAATGCAGAATGCTCCCCCCCCCCCCGCGCGGATGTGAGCCGTTGCAACCGGAGCTGCCAAAAAAAACAAAAAAACAGTATTGCTTCAGAGCCGGAAGGTCACGCCCCTCAAGACTTCCTGAACGGCCCTAAATCTTAAAACATGAATGAATCGACCACTCTGATTAAAGACGCCCGGTTTTTCCATCCGACTGCCCTTTGAAGGGACCGACAAGGTTTGGCTAAAAGATCAGAATCATTTTGTGGTGCCCCCAAGACCCCTCCGAGTAATAACGTCACGAATCCCCGCCCTTTTGAGGAAAAGAAAACAGACAAAAACAGCGGCAATAGCTGCAGCTGTCGCTTCCTATTATCTCAGCCTCTGAATAGCCCTCGATGGTCTTCTGCCACGTCCTTCCCTGCCCTCAGTGCCTACTTCTTTAAAGTGGTACCTCAATGCCTCGATTACTAGGGGGTGGCCCCAAAAAAACCCTCCACATCTGTTTTCTCCAGACCTGGTCTTGAGAGTGAGGGGCTACAGTATTGATCAAGTTCATACAGTAGTCAACAGTCGCTACGCGCGAAATCGGCAAAGAACCATTTGGGTTGCAGAGGAAATAAGCTTGATACTGTGGATGGACAAAATCCTGCACCTAAGAAACCCCAGAATGATGAACTGCCTGCAAATACCAACAACGGTCTACCATAGTTTCAAATTGGTGCGAACGGCTTTCGTCCGTCCACAGTAACTACGTTTGTAGGCTGCTCATTCGACCCACTTGCTTCATTCACTTTGGCGCTTGCCGTCATCCCACAAGTTCGCGCCTCCGGACCGCCGAAGGCTTCCGCCACCACAGCCTCACTGGTCTTCTTCGGCGGTCGAAATGGGACCCGTTGGGTTGCAACTTTTGGTTTCCCTGTAAACTGCACAAAAAAAGGTACCAAAATACTCACAGGTTGGTTGATGCTACGCACATCATTGTCCTGCGCATGGACTGGTTTACTAAACCCCTAAAAGGGTCCCCTAACAAAGCCGCCAGCTCCCCAGCCCGGGACTTGCCAGGGACTCCCCAGACTGGCCCTTGGAGACAATCCCGCATGGCCTCTTCAAAACAGGGATGGTAATGCCCCCCCAGAAGCTTTTTGACGTCTCAGCTTACCCATGCTGCAGGTGGGCAACGTCGAGTACCTCAAGATGCCGTCCAACCCCACGCTCCCAGTGGATTTCCATGAAAGAAGGCGCCCCAGGCGACAAACGAGGGGATACCATCCCCTGCTCATTTACTGGGGATTCGTTCCCCTTGTATTTTTCTCCAGCATCAAAAAGACCTTTTTCTCCCCTCCCAGCCCAGCAAAGAAAAAGCTGGAAAACCACTGAAGGCCTGGGGTCGTTTCGAGGTCTCCCGCGAGCGCCGAAAAAATGAGCGAGCTCCCGGCGGAAATCCGCATGGCTCGGCGCGAGAGAAACATGCGCGGTGTGACGGTTTCGATCGGGCGTGGGGCATCCACCTTGTCTGTGCTGCTCTGGTCTGAACCTTGGCGCTTGGTCTTTGGCGGAAGCTGCCGTTGACGCAGCTCTGGCTTCGAAGTTCATTTCGATCCGTGAAAAAACGCCATCTGCGGAGCATGGGCAGGATTTTTGACTAGGGGCCCGTTGGTGGACAATCATTTTGGGTGGGAGAAAAAGGTCCGCCAAACACTTTTATGGTCCCAACTCTCGACATTCGCAGTGCATTTCGTGACCTTCTCGACGTCAGACGCCTCTCAAGCCAGCCGCTATATTGGAAGCCCGGCTCTGATCCTTCAACCACAAATGCGGTGGTGTGTCTTTTTTCGAGGGTAATTACCCTTTTCTTTTGTAGCAGTAAAGGGAGACCAAACAGGAAAACCTGCATTTTTTAGGGGACCCCTACACAACAAAGTAAAGAAGCTGTTGGTTTTCCTTTTGGTCTCAATTTAAACCACATGAAACAAAGTGATCACCCTCAAAAAGACGCACCCGAATTGACTGTCTCAACCCTAGGCATCGATGTGCACTTCCTTTTAACAGCACTTGAACGGGGTCATAATTATTGGAGACCCAAACCTCATGCACATCCAATGGGGCAGATGGAGTTCATCGGCAAATAAACATGAAAGCAAGCTGAAACTGGAATCCATCGTTTTTCCACCAAACCGGAAATCAGAAAATAACAAGAGCCAGACTCACTCAACAGGCCACAACCACGTCAATTTGCGTTCTTTCCCCAGGAACTAATGAGGAAATATCTCCAGTACTGAAACAGATCCCCTTTGAAACCAACAAAAAACATCAAATTATCCACAAGTCCCTTGGAAAAAAAGAGTGCGAACATATGTCTCGGGTTCCCTTTAAAACCGAAACAAAAAAAACAACAAACCAAATATGTGTATTTCAGCAAACGGACGAACGCGTTCAACCCGAAGGCCCATTGGATCGGACCAAATCGCTTCGGAGCGGGGAGGGCGCATCTGGGCCAAGCCGAAGTCGACCACCACCACGTGCAGGTCCTGCGTTTTTTCTTCTTATTTTTTTTTCTCCGGTTTACCGAGCTCTGAAGCGCCCAAAGTCAGTTCGGACCATGTTTGGCCTAAAATGGCCAATGTGGCGTCCTTTAGGCCCTTTAAATTCCCCCTTTTGGGGGCGTCTAAAATTCACTTCGGCTCTGGTTTGCAGATCTAGGCTTTGCGTTTGAAGAATGAAACCACATAGAACCAGCTTGCTCCAAAACGCCAATAGGGGGGGTTGGGCTCTAAGTTCATGCGCATTGTTCTTTGAGTAGGTCCACTTAATCTCCCATTCAACAAACCCTAAAAGGGTACCCTCGACAAAATCACACCCATTGGGTAGACGTTTCAATGTAAGGGTACTCTTTCTGGCTGAAGCTGCCAGGTTAAACTTGCAAGAGATGCCCGTAAAGAATTTCTCTCCGTTCCACGAAAGCAAAGCCCTCATAAAACATCGCGTCCGGTCGGGTTGGGCCGACTTGCCAAAGAATCAAATACTGAAGAAGGGGATCTGGCAGTGTCTCAAAATTAAAGAGCTAGGGTTACGCAGGTTTTGGTCCATGTTGCCACTTATCAGGTTCCATTTTGGTACCGGTTTTTTGAGCCATACCCATCTCTGAAAATCGAGGGGCACCAATGCCCTGTCGAGATTCGGGGTGTCGTTGCTTGAAGAGAGTGAGCCAACCACATCCAACCAATCCCGCACAGGTCAATGGCGGTATTTTTCCCAGGGTTGCTAACTTGTTTATACCAGTAATACCACAATGGTGGCAAGCGGAGAATGGATAATGCGTGCAACTTGTAGATTGCCGTGGAGGTCGCCAAGGTGTTCCCAACCTTTGTTTTATATTGAGTTGACACACCATGCATGGCTCTTGGCCGCTGATGTCGCTGATGTCACGGACCAACCAAAACGATGGTTGCAAGGAAGAAATGTGAAAGGGTAACTCCGTTGCCCAAGCAGAAAGAAAAGGTTAGTCTTTCCGGCCACGTCTTTAGACCAATCCCAAAAACGGGTACCCTCAAAAGAGGCTTGAGCAATGCTTGGGCCTGTCCTTCTTTTGACGGTCCCAATTGGTTGGCTTTCAAGGAAAGCCAAAAGGAAAGCCGCAAGGCACGGCTATTTCGGAGGTCCAACCTGCAAAAGACGAGCCACCTAAATTCACCAAATCAGGAACACCAGCGGTCGATTCCCGTCGATTCGCTTTGGGCTGAGGAGGTTCAGAGCAAGCGTTCAGTGGTGACAAATTTTGGCCATGGGCAAAGCTCCGTCTGCTTTTGCCTTCGATCATGGCTCCCTCACTTACTTGAGTGGATTGGCCAACAAAAGTCTGACCTTTTTGTTTGCCTCTAACATGATTTGCTCAAAAAGCTCAAAATCCAGGAACTCAAGAAGTGAGCTAAATCAGATGGTTACAAATGGTATTAAGGATCCTTACTAACATTGTTAGCGCCAACCCCAAGGTTCGCCCACCCCCAGTCAGGTAGGCTTGTCCAGAACTGACCGTGTCTTCTTCAAGCTCTTGTGCAGCCGTTCCAACTTGCAGGTCCACAGCAGGACAACTTCTTAGGGTTTATGTTGGCACCCAGAAACCTTTTAGGGTGAATGTTGGTGTGGGCCGCACCACCAACAGCCTTTAGGGTTCATGTTGGCCCTGCCAACACCTCTTAGGGTTTATGTTGGGCCCACCAACACAGTTTCGGACCAGCATTGTTTTAGGGTGTACGTAAGGCTTATGCTGGCGTTATGCTGGCCCCACCAACACTGTGTTAGGGTTTATGTTGGCCTCCAGACACCTTATAGGGTTTATGCTGGCCCCACCAACACGTTTTAGGGTTTGTGTTGTGTTTAGGCTTTATGTTGGCAAGACTAGCACCTTCTAGGGTTTTCTGGTGGGCCCGCCAACACTGTTTAGGGTTTATGTTGCCCCACCGACACCTTTTAGGGTTTATGTTAGACGGAAAGAAAAGTCCAGTAGTGACAGATTCCCAGCAAACGGAAGTTGAGAGAGATGAAGGTGACGTTTTAAATCAATATTACCATTGTGCAAATGAAAGTTGAATTCAGTGCTTAAAACCACCAAAGGGACATAGAGCGGCAAGACGGCTGCAGGCTCCTGTATGCGAGCGCCACGTGGGCTCGACATCATCACATTCTCGGGCTTGAGGTCTTTGTGCATGATGCCTACCGTGAACCATTCAGACCCATCAAACACAACACGTCAACCGCAAGCTACAGGACTGACACTTTTATCCCCTGCATCCCTTGTCGTTGGTGGGTTTTCCACTTCGTGCATCCCAGCACTTGCCACCTACCAAAAACAAACTGCGAGCTTCCCCGTCTTTTTAGAGGAAAACTTGGGGCCAATGTCCGGCCCAAAGAACCAGCAGTAATCTTGCTGGGCATCCATGTGATGGATCAAATTCAATTACCAGGATATGGATCGGCTTCATCCATGTTTCCATTTACCAGGAAGGAATCCTTTTCTGGTACCGTGACCCTACCAGTAGATTGATCATCTTTAATTTGGAGAAATCCAGGGAGCCCCAGACCTTGTCCCTTGGATATTGGCAATTTGCTCGAGCACGTCCCGCATGAAACTCCAAGCCATTTGGGACCCCACCGGCCATTTGACCGACCAAATAAGACCCAATGTTGTACATTTGTTTTGTTGGGGTTTGTTGTGCTTTGTGAGCAAAGGGTACCCTTTTGAGGTTGATCTAAAGGAGAACCAACAGGAAAAACCCATTGTGGGGGTCCGAATCCCTATTTTGCCACATCCCCGTGTACTCGGCTCATTTGGGGGAAAGGGGCCCATTGACCAACCCCACCGGCCGTCACTCGCAGTGAGAGATCTCCTTTTCATCGCAGAAACCACGATGCGATCGCACTGAAACGCGCGCGATTTCATGAAATCGATGGCACCCAGGGCTTCCGCCAAACGCTTCAAGGGTGAGAGGGTGAGGAGCAGGCGCGCAAAACAAAAAGCTCATTTAAACATGCTGAACTGGCTGGTGCATGGAAACCTCCCTTTTGCTCAGGAAACCACAAGGGAAAAGGAATAAAGCCCTGAGGCCCAACCAAATTGAAATGGGGAATGAAGCCATCATAGCATAGTTTTGGTAATCTAGCTCCTCACACTGCCACTATGCGACGCGGAAGTTTGCCGTCATCTCGCCGATGTCCTGCGCATTGGAAAAAAAAAACACGCGCACCTCCAATTGAGCAGAGCCCAAAACCCACTCACTTTTTGTTCTACCAGCATGGCTATAAAGGTTGATATAGGCCTACTATAAAATTAGAGCTCCCTACAAAAATGGCCAAAGGGGGTGTTGCGAACCCATCATCCAATCGACCAATTTCGGGGTATGAGTGTTCGGCGATGTTGGCATGCACCTCAGCTTGGTGGCTTGAATTGGTTGGAGGGTTGAAATAGCACCTAGAAAGTGTCCGCAGCTCGCAATGGGAGGCACAGAAACGCCAAAGCAGAACCAGGATGTCTCCTTTTTGAGGGAGCTTTGTTGGGGTTGTTGTAACAGCAAAACCTGATGGCAAGAACCCTTGCACACAATTTCATGAGGTTCTTGCTTGCAGCCACACCTCGCGTCGCATTTGCCAACTCACTGCGATTTGGGAAGGCGAGCTTGTGAATTCCTCCAACGACATGGGACGGCTTCTCTCGGGTATATAGTCATGTGGCCTAATGATCAGAGTGTCTTTCATTTGCTTTCGGGCGCTCTTGAACATAACGCATTTACCAATCACGGCCAGTGCGTGTGTGTAGGTGTGCAGGCAGGCAGGCAGGCAGGCAGGCAGGCAGGCAGGCAGGCAGGCAGGCAGGCAGGCAGGCAGGCAGGCAGGCAGGCAGGCAGGCAGGCAGGCAGGCAGGCAGGCAGGCAGGCAGGCAGGCAGGCAGGCAGGC